CCGTCTGGAGGGTCGACAGGATACCGGGACAAGCAGTCCGCATCTTGGTGCAGGCGGCCGGTTTTATACAGGACTGAGTAATCAAATTCTTGAAGGCGCAGCGCCCAACGGCCAAGACGGCCTGAAGGGTCTTTAAGGGACGAAAGCCAGCACAAGGCGTGGTGATCTGTGATTACTGTGAATGGCCGGCCGTACAAATAGGGACGAAATTTACCGACTGCCCAAACAAGTGCCAAACATTCCCGTTCGGTTATTGAATATTTTTTTTCAGCAGGCGAAAGAAGGCGGCTGGCATAAGCAACAACACGGTCTCGTCCTTGTTGTTTCTGGGCGAGGACTGCACCGATGCCATAGCCACTTGCGTCTGTACGAACTTCTGTTGGAGATGAAATATCAAAGTGGGCGAGGATAGGCGGAGACGTAAGCAGACACACTAGATTTTGAAACGCATCTGCTTGCTCAGGGCCCCAGATGAAGCCAGCGTCTTTTTTGAGAAGTTGAGTGAGAGGGCGTGCTACGTCGGCGAAGTTTTTAACAAAGCGGCGGAAGTAAGAACAGAGGCCAACGAAACTGCGAACGTCTTTGGTACAGGTTGGTACAGGGAAATCTCTTACTGCGCGTATTTTATCTTGATCAGGGCGAACCCCCACGGAATCAACGAGGTGTCCGAGGACAGAAATTTCACGACGGCCGAAGTGGCACTTTGCCGAATTGAGTTGCAGGCCCGCCTTACGAAAGACAGATAAGATTTTCGATAGCCTTTCAAGGTGCGTCGCAAAAGAAGGCGAAAAAACGATAACGTCGTCCAGGTAGCACAGGCAGATGGACCACTTGAAGCCGTGCAACAGAGCGTCCATCATACGTTCGAATGTGGCGGGCGCATTACATAAACCGAATGGCATCACTTTAAACTCGTAAAGGCCGTCGGGAGTAATAAACGCCGTCTTCTCACGGTCCATGTCATCAACGGCAATCTGCCAGTACCCAGAGCGGAGGTCAATGGAGGAAAAATATTTTGCGCCGTGAAGGCAATCCAGGGCATCGTCTATGCGTGGTAAAGGGTAGACGTCCTTCTTCGTTATTTTGTTTAAATGGCGATAATCGACGCAAAATCTCCAGCTGTTGTCCTTCTTCTTTACAAGTACAACAGGGGACGCCCAGGGACTGCATGAAGGCTCGATGATATTCCGAGAAAGCATTTTGTCGACCTCCTGTTGGATGATGCGCCGCTCTGCATGGGAAACACGGTAGGGTCTCCGATGGATGGGACTCGTATCGCCTGTATCAATCCGGTGCTTAACAACGGACGTCTGGCCGAGTGGGCGGTCGCCAAGGTCGAAGATGTCCCAAAAAAGATGCAAGCAGGGAACGCAGGTCGTTAGCTTGTTCTTTCGGCAAGTCGGGGGCAATCATCTTGGTTAACACACTTTGGTCTGATGGAGGAGTAGACGAAGTTTTTTCGGCACTCGGGATGCTGTCATAACTTAGAGTGCAAATATGGCACTCTGCCGCCGGCACGATCTCGGCTAGAGATATACCACGAGGGAGGACTTGTGTACATAGTGAAAAATTCACTAAGGGTAGGCAGGATGCATTGGCCGTAATAGTGATGACGGTGTGAGGAAACGCAACGTTGTGCGAAAGCAGGACGTCAACATTGGGGGACACAATATAAACACCGTCTGGGACAGGTGGAACAGGGGAGACGCCTATGTAAGCTACTGTTCGTTGAGGGAGACGCAGGTGTTCTGTAGAACAAAGCCGACTTGGAGGGCAACTTGGAGGATCACAACATTAGGTAGAGCGAGTTGCACTATACCGGCAGAGCAGTCTATCAAGGCCGAATGTTCAGACAAAAAGTCTTGGCCCAAATTATGTCATTAGGGCAGTGTTCTAAAACATAAAACAGAACTGATGTGTGGTGTCCGGCGACGCTGACGCGAGCTGAGCACACACCAATTACGGCGACTTTTCCACCATCGGCCGTTCGGACCACAGGAGTTGGGCCAGGAGTAAGGACTTTCTTCAGCCGTGCTCTAAGGTCAGCGTTCATGATAGACACGTGTGCGCCAGTGTCAATGAGGGCTGTAGTAGGTACACCGTCGACGTCAACATTGATAAGGTTCTGATGTGCGGGCAAGGTCAGTAGAGGATTTTGGGATCGGGTCGGTATTGCAGCATCACCTCCAAGAGCTGCTCCCGTCAGTTTTCCGGAGGTGAACGCCGGAACGAGCTTGGGGACGGCGATCGGCGAGATGGGGGCGAGCGGGAGAAACGGCGTTGTGGCGAAGGGGAGCGGCTGGATCGGGGGCGCGAGGAATTCTCAGGCGTTAGCGGCTCTGTTTTCGGTGATGAGCGTGAATTCCAGACAGGTGGGCGATGGGGCGGAGGGTGAGGCCACGGAGCAGAGCTGGACCAAGCACGGCAGTGACGCGAAATGTGGCCTATACGACCGCAATTGAAGCATATCGGCCGGTCGTCTGGGGTGCGCCATACCGCCGGGTCGCGATAATGTGGGCTGGCAGAAAAACGTCGGTTGGGCGGAACAGTCACGGGTGGATTTGGTGTGGCGTAGTCTGGACGATGAATGGAGCAGACGTTTAAGCCGGCGTTGGCCAGTTCTTGCCTCACGACGGTCTGTATGAGAGAGACGGGTGGCGTGATAGCTTTCGGAGTTGGGGGAGGCTGACACGAGTGGAGCTGCGGCTTCTATTTCCCGACGGACAATACGGACAACGTCACCGGGACTTTCCGTAGAAGGCAGGCGAGGGTCTTCGCATGTGGATGTTGCAGCCGTGTTTGGAAGCCGGGCAAACTGGTGGAGAACACGGCGGCTCTTCGCTTCTTCAAAGCGCCGGCATTCAGAAATAATGTCGTGGACCGTAGATGAATTCTTGAACACAAGAAGGTGAAAAGCGTCATCTGCTATGCCCTTAATAATATGGCCAACCTTATCGGCTTCGGACATCTGCGAGTCTACCTTGCGACACAAAGCGAGCACGTCCTGAATGTACGTGAGGTATGATTCGGTGCACGTCTGAACTAGACGTGCGAGCTCGTTTTGGGCGGCGCGTTGACTTCCCACAGGCCTGCCAAATAGCTCCCGGAGCTTTTGCTTGCATAACTCCCAGCTAGTCAGTTCTTCCTCGTGCGTCTCGTACCAGACCTTTGCGGTACCTCTGAGATAAAAAATCACGTTGGCCAGCATGAGCGTTGGATCCCATCGCATACGTACACCCACTCGTTCGTATGACTTCAGCCAGGCTTCTACGTCAATGCCATCAGTGCCAGAAAAGGTACCTGGATCTCTCGGGGGCTCCAAGATGAGGGTTGACGGTCCAGTTGGAGAAAGCACGGACGTAGTTGGAGAAGGCACGGTAGTCGGGGAAGGGTCGGCATTGTTGACTGCAGTCGCCATGGGGGAGACCACTAGGCGCCCGCTACGAAGCTCCGTTTTGCGTGAAGTGAGTACCCCGCACCTCCACCAATGATGTTACGGGAGAATAACTTTACTTTATAAAACGAGGAATAAACTCGGTGGTGGACAAGATGGCGCCCAGTTGGCTCACAGATCTGACAACATCGTCCTCCTCTTTGTCTTCTTCGTCGTTCTCATCCTACCGTTACAATATATATATATATATATATATATATATATATATATATATATATATATATATATATATATATATATATATATATATATATATATATATATATATATATATATATATTATATATATATATATATATTTTTTTTTAAGGAAAGAAGTGTATACCTATGGGCTCGTTTTTCCGTGTTTATACACAATATTAATAAGAACTAACAGACAATAATGCGAAGAAAAGTATAGGGGAAGATATTAGACAAATTTTAATGTAAATATGAAGAAAAGTGGCTGAAAAGATAACTTGCCGTGGGCAGGATCCGAACCTGCGACCTTCGAATGACGCGTTCGATTCTCTACCACTGAGCTACCACGACAGCTATTCCCCCAGCCACTTTATAGGGTTTATATGTGAATTAAGCGTGGGAGTGTCAGTCAGCGCCACGAGTAGCCATGGCGGCGATTGTGGCACACTCTTTTGAGCCTGTTTGGCGTCACGTAGCACGTGAACTTGTTACGAGTGGGCAGCTGACCAATAGTCCCTCGTATACAACCTAAAGGCACTATGTCTGCCAGTACGAGACCCTCGTTACTGAATTAAGGAAAGAACTGTATACCTATGGACTCGTTTTTCCGTGTTTTACGCAATATTAATAAGATCCAAGAGACAATAATGCGAAGGAAAGTATAAGGGAAGATATTAGACAAATTGTAATGTAAATATGAAGAAAAGTGGGTGAAAAGATAACTTGCCGTGGGCAGGATCCGATATATATATATATATATATATATATATATATATATATATATATATATAATGAAATTTATTCACAAGGAACAATCGCAAGTATCCGACCGGGAAGGCGGACCAGCGACACCTCGCTCCGCAGCGTGCCGCATTAAAAAACTCAACCATGCGGTCTGCTCTGCATGCGCAGGAATAATAAAGGTGAGGTATTTACATGCACCATTTACCGCTGGCAGTGCGCTGCTCTCGAAGTAGTTTCAGCGTGTTTTCTATCATGTAACACTCCTACACTTTTTTTTATTATAAGAACTGCCCTTGAGACACACATGAAAATGTGGCCTCTTTTTGTACCCACTTGTAAGTGTATGTGTAAGAAAAAAGAGAACCCGTGACCCATTTTGCATCAGGCGCCACCGCAGAAGACGCGGAGGGAACTCTCAGCTAGCTACAGTAGACTTGTAAATAAGGACCCGTGACAAGAAGCTCAGGGTAGACAACTTGTTCGCACCCCTTGCTTTCTTTCAGCATAATATCCTAAAACTAAAACTAACCCTGAAAGCCTTTTTTATTCGGCGGCCTTGCTTCAACTGTCTATTGTTCTAAGCCACACGTGTTGTTTAACTGGTCAGTGTTCCTTCGCGCAGATTCGGACGGCGTACCATGTTCTTCGTCTCCGTGTTTGGGGCTGCGCTCTTCGGCTCTTTGGGAGCGTTGTCCGCCTCGGTGAAGTGGTACAACGGCCTGCGCTTCTTCGCCTCCGTCAACATCGCCGGCATCCAGACAAGCTCGGCGGCCTTGTGTGAGTTTCGCGGCCGTCTTCTCGTCGCCCCAAAAGTGTCGAACTGAGATACAAATACCGTTCGTCTTCTCAAAAGCAACAATGGGATCGTTCTCTTTCCTAAGGTCGGCGTACAAAAGTTCAATTTTCATGCTATGTATGTGCATCAAACTTGTATATGGCGCCTTATTGGCTCTGTTCGCTAAATTTAGGGAGAATTCATATAATCACACACTTTCGTGGACTGTTACCGGTTTTTACGCGGCGAGGCGCCACCTCGCGTCGAGCAGAGAAAGCCGAAATAAACAAACGCAACAGCTGTATTTTCTGGCTTATTTCGCGTTAAAATCTTTAAAATATAAACGTTATTCACATTTAGCGCCTGGAGAAGCGTTTTCGTGTGTGTAGACGACCGTTCCGGTGAGATCCGGTCTATCTGAGTGATTCACTGAGTCGCCAAATTGTTGAAACAGCAAGTGTAGGCGTCCGTGTGAAGGCATAGGCAAGGTTCCGATTGCGCTCTGACACACCGCTAAATAAGGAAATGTACGGGCTCCAAAATCGTTTTCAACTTTCATACCAGCCTGCGAGTGGTCGCAACTTTCACTTCCTCCCACTCTACAGTTAGTATCGTTGGTATATTGTTATTTTGCTCCACTGCTGACCCGAAAGTTGTGGCTTCCATTCTAGACGTGGTGGTCGCGTTTCAATGGAGATGCAATGCAAGGGGCCCGTGAACTGTGAAATGTAGGAGTACGTTAAAACAGGCGGTTGAAATTTCTGGAGCCCATGGCGTGGCTTAAAATTATGGCGTAGTCTTCCCAAGTAAAACTGCATATATCATTATTCCCTGTTTGTACCTTTTCACCTAGTGGATGCCAAGACGCATATAAAAAAACAGAAGAATGTATAGCTGCCTTCTCGCTCCTTAGCATTTATTTATAAGGTTTTCGAATTCTAATGAATGTGAGCTAATCACCGTGTACAAATACGTTGCTGAAACAGTTGCTGCGCCCGTACTTCATGCCAGATGTCTAGACACCCTACATTACCTTTGTGTGTGTGTGTGATCAAGCAATATTGTAATGCCAGATGTGTGTTAGGGTGGATAGGGTGATCACTCATGAGACCCTGTATGGTACATACTAATACACTCGTGACTGAACCCCACAGTGGCCGAAATCTTGGACCCTCGATACCGGACGTTCCTCAACATTGGCTACACGGCGGGATACGCCATACCTTCCATGCTGCTTCCGGGCGTGGCCTACTTGTTGTCAGACTGGAAACTCCTACAGCTGGTCACCGGACTGGCAGCCTTGGCCTGCGTGCCTTTTATGCTGTCAGTACCCGCGTACCTTGAGCCTGATAGCACTGTTTCTAAACTCGAAATCTATTGATGTGTGCTTGTTTTTTACCATTTTATTTGAGTTACATTTTGGCCCCTACGCCCCGTGCATATAAGTGTGCACGAGCTAAATATATTTTGGGAACTTAATACACATATCTAAAAGCTTAATGAGTGCGTGTGTGCATGTCGGGTAAAACGGAGGGTAGAAAACGAAGTATATATATACACGATGTACTGCTACACTAATGATACATCACGACCACGTGCACGTCCCGTGGATATTTCACTTTGCAGTTTTTTGAGTTCTCGTTGTTTCCAGCTGGCCAAAACATTTCGCTCAAGATATTGCCAGAAGTTTTTCGCCATACACGTGGGACTGTAGCTTAATACACAATAACCGAACTTGTTACTACTAAAATTGTTTTTCATCTGTCTTTGAAATGGAGCAACCGCAAAGGAGTATGCAGGAAATTGAAAAAACAATGAACCAAGACAAAGGCATTGTTTATCTTAGGTGAGGCAAGCCGACGCAGCTGTACACCTGTAAGTTACAGGATAGAAGGCGGAGAAATTCGTTCAAACTGCTCGTCAAATAATGTCGTAATGAGACTTGTTCGGGAGCTTGCACATTTACGCGCATCGGGGGTCTAGGATTGAAGGTGCTTGAATGCAGACTCAAAGGTCACGGGATTTAATCGCGGCTGCATTCTGGTGAAGGTAAAATTGCTAAGGGGCCGTGTACTTAAACGCCAAATGCTCTAATATTTCCAAAGCCCCCTCTCCTTTGCAGGGTCGTTCAAAATAATAAGACTTTCGAAAACAGTGTTCTGCTCGTATGGTGTTTTCGGTGTCACTATTTTTGCTCTAAAGTTTTGGGAATCAAGAGTGCGCTCCCCGTTTGGTGCCTCATCCCCCAACTGGTGCAAGTGCTGGCCCCTCGCACTGGAAACCACTATCAACCAGCGACATGACCACCGTGGTTTCTGCACCAGGCTTTTTGTCTGGTGCGAGCATCGCGTACGCCCTTCCTGCAAGGAAACACGTGTCTCAACATGCCCGGACAATGCCTTGCCTCCCGTCTCACTAGCGCACGTCACCATGACGTGACTGAGCTTGGCTTAGCCTCATTAGCCGCCAATGACAACCTCCTCTTCCATGGCGTTGCTTCCGCCCGGCTAGCTTAGTCGGTTGAGCGTGAGACTCTTAATCTCAGGCTTGAGGGTTTGGACCCCACTTTGGGCGCCAGTTATGTGCAAATATGTTTGCTAACCCTACGAAGCGACCGGGAAGCCACGCGACTATTTCCCACTGCCGTAGCGCACAAAGACGCAATGGCTGGGTTTGCTGACTCTCCGACACGGCGTGCATTAACGGCACTCGAGGCAGGTAGTCAACAAATACGGGTTTATTAACCGAAGATTCAGCACAGTGCGACAGTCCTGGGCTTGTGGGCCGACAGGGAAACTCCGCAATGCCGACCGAAGTGAAGCATTTTCCGGCTAGAGGATACGGCTATCACACACAGGGCAGCAGCTGAGCGCACCTAGGAGAAGCCGCCTGCCAGAGCAGCAGCGTCTACCTCTCGTGCAGGCCTGTGAGCATCTCCCAGGTTATCGAGCGCTGGCGTAAAGCAAGCCCATGTGAAAGAGGCGTTGTCACCGGAGGCTATTGAGGCTATAGTGTGTCAGTGACGTCACGGTGACTTGCGCTAGCGTGACGCGAAGGGCAAAGCATTGTCCGGGCATGTTCGGACACGCGTCTCCTGTGCAGAGAAGACCGGCGCATGGTTCGCACCAGACTAAAGGCCTGGCGGTGAAACTGCTGGTGGCCATGTCGCCGACTTACGATGGTTCAGGCCCACGGGGAGCACAACGAGGCGCCAAAAGTGGAGGGCCTGCTTGATTTCCACTAAGTCAACTATGATACTGAACCAGCTCACCCCACACGTCACTCTTCTTCATATCAAAGCGTCGTTTCTGGATTTAAAACCCCTGTAGGAAGCAAAAACAATTATCAATTATTAACGCCTTTCATGTGGTACTTTTTTTTTCTATTTCTCCTTTTCAGGGTCGTTCAGGAGTCACCCCGTTGGCTCATTACGACGGGCAGGGAAGAGCAAGCGGAACGCGCCATCTCAAAAATACTAAAGATGAACCGTCGAGTGGTGCCGAACTTGAAATCCGCCGTGCAATTGACTGCGGAGAGAATTCGGGAGTCGTCGACTAGTACCATAGGTCCCGTGGAGATTCTGAGACACCGGATGATTAGAAGGAACACTTTTCTTCTCTTTGTCGTCTGGTAAGCACACGTCCATCATGTTTAGAGAACTTGGTGACAATGCACAGGGGAATGGAGGCAGATATAAGCGGGTTAAGTGATGCAGGTGGCGTCTCATGAAAACGTTAGATACACACTGTTCCCCTCTCATGTACCGCCCCTGTCTTCTTCGTCTTCTTCGCCTCCCCATACAAGAGGAAACAGTGCCGTGCTCCCAAGTAGGCATGCAGGAATAGAGTATCCCCCACCCGTTTCAACCTGATTTCTCTCTCACGCCCTCTGTCTTTCTCCATATTTACTGATACCATAACGCTCACAAATATCTAGAAAGACACCAAGCCACTCTCAGATGAGAAAGTGTCCCCCGAAATACCAGATTTGTAGAAATGAATTTAGTTATTCTGTTTGTGTTATTCCTCACAAAATCCTGCGCTAATGACATGCTTAAACGTGATGGGAAGGTTCATAGATATATATGCTACGTGCAGATTCAGCCGAATAAAAAAGAATACCTACTTTACTACAAAGGAATTATATCTTCGCGAATATAAAGCTTTTCACGAAATGGCACTTTCGAAATAATGCTTCGACATAAAGCAAATCGTGTCACATTATGTTTGTCCTGATTAAAAACTCGAAATGAATTGACCTGGTGGTGTGCCCACAAGGAAACCATAGGTGGAAAACAGCTTGAAGTGCGGCCACTGTACATGTTCCGTGGAATATCTGCATCGCAGGTTCTGCGACAACTTTCTCCTGTTCGCTGTCATGCTGGGCGCTGTGGACATCGAGGGAAGCCACCTGGTTAACTTCGCTGTCTCAACGGCGGCAGAGATACCCGCTGCATTCATTGGCCTGGCCCTTGTCTACTACTGTCGACGCAGGCCGTCGCAGCTGGCCACTCTGTTACTGGCAGGGATAGCAGCGGCCACCATCGATATGATTCCTGCGGGTGAGGATTTCGATGGTCACGAATTAACGTATCTTTATGGTAAAGAGTGCTCCAGCCTATTTGTGCCATTCTAGATAACGAAGGTATACGAAAAAGGATGGCATGACACAACTAAATGAAAAATGCCCAATAGTGAAGTTACATTAGAAAATCACTCCGCCATGATGGTTCATTCAACCGCTTTATTAGATGCGGAAGCATCTTATACTCGCGCCTTGTAGTGCGCCGTCCGCGCCGTCCGCGCCGTCCGCACCGCTTCTCGAACATTCGACAGCTGACGCGCGCGCATGCGCCGTCGCGCCGTCGCCCACTCTTCCACCATCTGTGCATCCCTTCCTCCTCTACACACCGCGCGCGCTTCACTCCTCCACCATCTGTGCACCCTTCCTCCTCTACACACCGCGTTCGACATCTACAATTCTCCTGATTCTCCAGTGGACGCGCATGTGGCGTCGCGCTTCGAGAACATTCAACAGCTGACAGTGCATGCGCCGTCGTGCTGTATATATACTCAAGGTCGGCGCTCGCTCGCTCAGTTGCCGCTCGTCGGTTGGTTTGTACGGCGCGTCGACGTCCAAGGTCACGGTGGAATGAATTCCAACGAATCCACAAACACAATGATCGACGTCCCTTCGACCAGCGCCGCCCTTTCGCATACGTGTGTACGTGTTCACTCATTTAACACCCCCTCCTACAACCACGTTAACCAATTTAGCCATCGACCCAAGTAAGTCGCAATTTAACACCCCATTTCACAACCACGTTAACCAATTTAGCCATCGACCCAAGTAAGTCGCACTTTAACACCCCGTTAACCAATTATATGGTCCGCATCCTCCTCAGTGTTCCCCCGAGGGAAGCTGCGGACAATTTTTTTTTTTGCGGGGACCATCGCTTTGAACGCTTCTGGTTACTCCAATTTACCACGTCTATTCTCGACGAAAAATGAACAGTCCTATGCAACCATAGGGTCACAGGCCTTGTAATGAAGGAAACTTCTGGTCACCTCATTTACCAGCTGCTAACGTCGAAACTGTAAGCACGTTTTCAAGTTCTTTTAAATGTAAGAAATGTCTCTCTTTAGTATTTCAGATAAAAGAAACGTGCAGAAAGTTCAAGGGAATCTCTTCTGTTTTTGTGTAGCTAATAAAGCATTTATTCGAATATAATTTGCAAACTAAGGAAAAGAAAGTGTAGAAAAGCAGTGGGCTATTTTCTACAGCTCTTCTTGACCACGATGCTATTTTGGCACACCGGTTGATGAAACGGGATGTCATCAAGGAGCGGTGATTAAAACAGTGAAAAGGTCTATAGTGAACTAGAACCAACATAGTTCCTACCTACCTATTCCTTGCCTATTCCAAAATACGGCCCTGACACATTTAAGTACATCCTAACGCTAAAGAAAAAAATTCCCCACATTCCCGAAGGGAATCACGAGGAAATGCGAATGCATTGCGTAGCGTCTGTAACGGCGTTTAGCGCGTGAGATCCTAGCGTTCGAAGAATAATGTTTTCTTTTCTTTCTTTTCTTACACTGTGCAGCCAATAGCGCCGTTCACCGCACGTGGCGCTTTTCGGTCGCGAGAAACGTGGTATGCGTTTCTAGCTCTATAGTAGCTAGCGTGCACGGCAAAAAAAATGGCCCCGTATCTGCATGTTGCACTGCAAATGTCGTCGAAAGACGATAGTCTTGCGTCTGGAGAAAGTGAACCGAACGTTTATTTGTTGTTCTGCGCAAGAAAATTGTTGAACGGTATTCTGGAGGCGCTGCGTTCGAGTGTCTTGAGCGCGCTGCAGGAGGCGAACGAGCGCATCGTCACGTAACACGTGAGACATGAGCGCTATCTGGCAGTATTCTTGGAAAATGAAACGCGTGCGCTCTGCGCGCCCAGTCTCGACCGTGATAGGGTGTAGAACGCAAGGCAACGGGTAGGTGCCATCACCGTGTCGTCTTAGCAAAGCGTTGGAAACACTTGCCTTTTTGTGCAAGCATTGCCTGGTCAGCGCAACGTTATAAACGCTACGGTCCTTACAATTGCTTATGTATGCCTTTTCTAGTAAGAGACACACATACGGAATATTGACGTGTTCCTATGGTGCCTCAGATGTGCGCAATAATTGCTTTTTCATTGACAATCACACAAGTATGAACGCTGAAGCTTGAGCAATAATGGTGGGCGCTGCGGATGGGGTCGTACGTTTGGAGTAGCGTTCGGCCACTTTGGGTGCCGTTTAAGGCACCGTTAGGGCAGTACAAACAAACAATGTACAGACAGACAAGCCAAAATTTTTGCGTCGATGGTCGCCAAGAAAGACTATCGTCTTTAAAAGTTCCGGGTTTGATTGGGGATCAAAGCTTTGTGCGCCCTTTGCGTGGCATGCGTGCGTTCTACCCACAACCATGCCGCTGCTTGCGAATACAGAAAAAATAACTTCTCCTTGGAAATGCAATGAAACTTTTAATGCTTTACAAGCACACGCGTCCTGTATGCGTACGTACTTCACAATACAACGTAAAACATTGACGTAATAATGCGTGGTACAAGCGTAAATTGCCATTAGGCTGTCACAGCATGGGATTATCGGGATGACTTCATAGTTTAAAGCCAGCCATCCACTACAAAAGCACACACGCTACTGGCACCCTTAAGGCCACGTATAGTGGTGCATGACAAGTTCGAAAAGGTTCCATGCTCTAAGTGCGCACTACGAACAGAATATCACTATCGTGTTCAACTCTTAAAGGAGAAGCTTAAGGGTTCTCAAGTTTTCTTATAGAGAAAATATCTCATGAAATCATCTCTCGCCTGGCATGCTCACACTATGAAGGCATGTGAAAGGTCTCATGAATTCAGGAGCCGTTACAAAGTGAAGGTATACCTATGAGTGCATCTCTTCAGTCATACGAAACGAACGCATGTATTTACGACATCTGGGTCGATACTCGTGCTCGCCAATTTTAAATAAAAGTCTGGATAAGTATCACCTTGGCTATTAACTATTTTGATCGAAATTTCACACACCTGAAACTTGACTACACTGCAGAGGCCAATTCCTCCCAGTCAATACACATTTTCTATTTTTGTTCCTTTAAACTGAGCACCTGCCCGCTCAAACGAGCCCCGCCCCGGTGGTCTAGTGGCTAAGGTACTCGGCTGCTGACCCGCAGGTCGCGGGTTCAAATCCCGGCTGTGCCGGCTGCATTTCTGATGGAGGCGGAAATGTTGCAGGCCCGTGTTCTCAGATTCGGGTGCACGTTAAAGAACCCCACGTGGTCTAAATTTTCGGAGCCCTCCACTACGGCGTCTCTCATAATCATATAGTGGTTTTGGGACGTTAAACCCCACATATTAATCAGTGCTCACTCAAACGTCTCGAATCAGCATGAGCAGCCGCCTATCGAAGTGTGGTGGAGATGGTAAGCTAATAGCGCCAAAGTTTAGAAGCAGAGGCAGAATAAAATGTTAACCGTGTCGTTAGGCAATCGCTTTGCTGGCCAGCAGATTACTGAATATTGCTACGACGATGAGCTGCAAGAGTAATTACAGTCGATCGGCCGAATCATAACGAGTGCCTAAACCAACACGCTTCCTCATTAGCCATTATGAAGCGAGGTGGAGGAAATTATTGAGTGCTACATACCTGTAATACGTAGTCGAATTACCCGCAGCAACGCAGTGAATGGAGCTGCTAGCAACAGTAGCAACTCCGCAGTCTTATGTAGACAGCTGTAAACACCGCAGAAAAACGCCTTCACAAAGCAACATGCTGGAAGGGTTTCAGATACACATCCGCCGGGCAATGGACGAGCGCGATAGCCAGCCAGTGAGCAACGCGCAGCTGATATCGAGGCTGCACGCGGCAATGTAGCTTCGAGAGCTGATTCCGCCAATACGAGAAGCGTGTAGGAACAATCGGGGCCATAGAAGAAAAAATTGACTCCGAATCTGCATGTTACACTGCAAATGTCGTCGAAAAACGATAGTCTTGCGTCTGGAGAGAGTGAACAATTTGATGTTCAGCGCAAAAAAAAAATCGGTGAAAGGTATTCTGGAGGCGCTGCGTTAAAGGGCTCGAGCGTGTAGCGAAGGCGAACGAGCGCACCGAGGCACGTTAGACACGAGCACCATCTGGCGAAAACGAAGGCGTGCGCGCCCGCGGAGTTTCGCTAGCTCCACGTATACCAAATTTGATGTTACGTGACGTCAATGGATCACAAAATATATGACTGGTGCAAACATAATAATCCTGACATGCGTGCCATGTAAGAACATGACAACATATTCGTGTTTACAGTCGTTTCGCTAGCTCCACATATACTAAGTTTGGTATCACGTGACGTGAATGGATAATGAAGGTAAACGACACTTTCAAACATGATAATCATTACACGGAAGTCATGTGTGGCATCATTTACCTCCACCTCGTAACGTTGTGCAGATTTTAATGTGGCATATCAATCTTTCTTATTCGTGCTTCGCATATAATTGACTCCCACTCTATGTGAGATCTGCCAATTTTTGAGCATCGCGTTGCACTGTTAGCGTAGCGCGGTAAACGCTACAGTCCTTACAGTTACTTGTGTGTGCCTCTTCAAGTATAAAGGCAGACATAAAAAACATCGACGTGTTGTTGTGACGCCTCAGATATGCGCAATAATTGCTTTTTAAATGACAATTGTACAACAATTACCGATAAACCTTGAGCAATATTGGTGGGCGCTGCAGATGAGGTCGGCCGTTTGGTGCCGTTTGAAGGGGAGTGATCACTACCCAATCATGGTATCAGCTGTTGGTGCGAAGATGTCATCAAAGCAATTAATTACAAGATCTACTGATTCAGATGCATTCAAAGACACCACTAGCAAATAAATTACTGCTGCCACCAAGGACGAAGAATTACTCACTACGATGTCTCAACACCTAAAAGCATGCACACGTCTTTCAGCTAAGAATGATAGATTTCCGTAAAACGACGAGGAGTTTGAAAAACTGTGTGCTATTCACAGGTGAGCTGAAAGGAAAGCATATCGCACAAAGTGTCTTGAATACATTCGAGCCTACGGACAGACACAACGTCCTATCCGGCGTTACCTGGATAAACATAGCTGGCAACGATAGCACGACTTTCAGCGCACTTTCTCTTCCCGAACGGAAACCCCTGAAAGAGCTGTCTGAAGGATACTGCACACTGTTATCATTAACTTCAATACTCTGGAGCTCTTCGGCAAACAACGAGTCTGACTTCTCACGAGAGACAGTGCCAGCATTGGATTTGTCATTCACAATCGAAGAGCTGAACACCGCAATCAGCGAATGAAACAGGCACACATCATCCGGTGATGACGAAATAACCTATGAAGCCATCGCAAAGTTACCCCACACTTCCCGTCTACGCCTCCTAGAATATTATAATTCTTCATGGCGTTCTAGCGAGGTTACCGCATAATGGAAATTCGCTAAAATAGTGCCCATTTTAAAACCTTCAAAGCAGCCAACAAGCTATACGCCTGTTTCCGATCCGTTGCCCTGCTGAGTTGCATAGGCAAGCTTATGGAGCGGATGGTTCATAAACGAATTACTTGGTTTTTAGAAAGCCACGACAAATTTCCTCAAGAAATGAACGGATTCCGTCAAGGCAGATCAGCTATCGATAAAGCCATCACCCTCGTCTCTTCACTTGAAGAGGACCTCTTTGCCGGACGCATTCCAATCTCCAATCCATAGCTATCTTTCTCGACATCAAAGCAGCTTTTGACTCCGTCTTTCACCATGCCATTCTTGCAGCCATGGTCAGTCTTGGCCTTGGAGGAAGAGTGTATAAGTAGATTCAGAGTTATTTAAAAGAACGTAAGATATATATGAGCACTCCAAACGGCCCCACACAGTTCTACGCAGTAGAGAAAGGTGTACCCCAGGGCCCAGTCCTCAGTCCACTCCTGTTCAACATCACCCTGATACATATAACAAGGATATTGCCGCGAGGAGTGCACATCACAATTTACGCCGACGATATCTGTATCCGGAGTGCTTTAAGTTCGCGTTTTGTTACCAAACAACGCCTTCAAAAAGCTTTACAGAACCTCTCCGTGTATTTGGATCCCCGGGGTATGCACTTTTCTCCAGAAAAGAGCACAGCCATGGCATTCACGAGAAAGAAAATGACCAAGTATCCGCTCCTCCTCGGTGGGCGGCCACTGACCTATGTACGGTCTCAGCGATTTCTTGAAATAGTCATCGACAGAAGTCTTTTCTGGTCTCCTCAGGTGAAGAAACTTCGAGCGAGAATAGCAGCAGCATCACAACCCTTCAAGTTCATGGCGGGAACACGATGGGGATGCAAGTGCCGATCAATGGTCCTGCTTGAGAAAGCGTATATTGAAGGAACCTTGCGTTATTGCCTACCAGTGCTTCACCGATTATCACCAACAAACAAGAGAACTTTAGAGGGCGAACGAAACAATTGCCTACGAATCTATCTGGGCCTTCTGAAGAGCTCATCAGGCTCAGGAACTGTAGCGGAAGCAGGATGTCTTCCACTAGATGTCATCTGCACTCATTTCCGCCATGTCATACATGAGAATAAGCATTTTCTGTACCGCATACATCTCACCCACAGCAATTCAGCATTCGGCCAAGCTGTGCAAATGCAGCAACTTACTGCTATCAGACAGCCGAAGAAGTTGATGCCTCCAAGATTTTCTCCGTGGACGCTTTCACCTCTTGATATAAAACAGTGTGTCCCAGGAATCAATGCAGCGAAAAGACGTTTTGCACAGACCACACTGCTGCAGACTACTCTCTTCTACTTAGCCCAGCATTACACTCAGCATTCTTATATCTATACTGATGCCTCAATTACTCACAAGATCTCGTCATATGGCCTCTAGGTTCCCTCTACAGGACAAAGTCTATTCTATTGGCTACAGTGCAGGACATTATCAACGACAGCAGAACTTCATGGAATTAATGAAGCAATTCTCTACACCCTTCGTCAAACGCCAAACTGATGGGTGATCTTCACCGACTCTAAGGGAGCTCTACAAATACTATTCAGCCTTTTGAAGAAAACAAATGATCACCCGATTTCATTTGATATAGCATCCTTACACCACTTGGCTATGATCGTGGGTCACGCTATCACATTTCGATGGATACCAGCTCATTGCGGTATACTGGTCAATGAAAGAGCAGATGAAGTGGCCCGCGAAAAACTTCAAAAGCAAAATTACAGGCTAACCTATTTCACTAAATCAGATGCTCCCCAGATGACTAAAAGGCTTGCTTTTGAAGAAAAGAACAGGGCTATGGAACCTCCCAACACATCATTACACTTTCCTCCACTCTATCGACCCACATTTAAGGACTAGACTCCCATCCTGAATCCCTCGACCCTGGAAACTCTCTACCACCGTCTCCAGCTCAACAGTGCTTATGGAAACAATTTACGGTATCGCTTCGGTCAAGTAGACAGTCCATACTGCAATAATTGTGGCTCCATAGAAACTGTAAAACATATTTTGTTTGAGTGCCGAGCATATGCCGATGAACGTGCGCTCTATGAACACTGCATGCATCTGTTAACCCAAAGAACCTTATCAGTTGATTGTTTCCTGGGCTCTTTCCTCAGCTTCACGCAACAGAGGCAAGCGATGAAACTTTTATTCGCGTATTTAGAAAATATCCGTCAGCTAAACAAACCAGCTAAACGAACTGCAGGGGCGCCTTGAAAACTGAAGACATGCTGACAGCAGACGTCCCCACCCAAGAGACAGAAAAATGTCTGTATATTTACATTTATTTTCTTTCCATTTTATTCTTAATATTTTCTCTCTCTCTCTTCTGCCTTGCAGTCCCCAATACCCTTACCCACGCAGAGTAGCAAGTCAGCGACTAACACACGCCGGCTAAATTCTCTGCTTTTCAATAAAGAGCTCTCTCTCTCTCTCTCTTGAGGTATCGATGAGGTGGACAAACAGACAAATGTATAAACAGGCAGACAGACAGGCAAAACAAAATTTTTCCGTCGAAGTTCCCCAAGAAAGACTATAGTCTTCAAAATACTATGAAGTGAACAAAACAAACAGCGTTTTCGGCTCGGCATTGGCGTTTCACAGCGGCGTCCTCTAGCACACATTTCCAGATGTTCTTGAGAGGCGCCCAGCCAGCGAACGGTCGAGAAGAGTGAGGCGCGAGCGCGCGGGCGGGAAAGTGGGGCGCAGGGAAGAGAGAGAGTGAAGGGCGAGAGAAGGAGCGGCGAACCACTTCATCTACCCTCTCCTACACTCTCTCACACCACATGATTCAGTTGCTAGGGGTGAGGATAAACTGGTTACGATATCATTACGTCATTATAAACAGTTAAGTGCAGAAGAAAAAAGATGGATTTCACCTTGTATTAGGCAAACGCATAGAGAACCATGTGAATTTTTGCATCATGGGTAACGCTTAGAAACTGGTCACGGTGTTCGTTTGCTGCTGAGCTTAGGCAATTGTCGTTCGTGCCGTTAATAATAATCCTTGCTCTCTTACGGCTTGCAGGTTCACCTTACGTCAGCTTGTCGATGTCCATGGCGAGTCGTTTCGTGCTCGTCCTGTCAGCATCGGTCAAGTGGGTCTGGACCATGGAACTGTTCCCAACGGCAGCACGTGGGTTCGGCTTCGCCGCGTGCTTCACCGTGGGTCGCTTGGGCGGAATCGTGGCACCCTTCATGAGCGTTATTGTGAGTCTTTGCAAGCCTTCTACGCGTCAACAGCGGGGCCTCTGATAATAGGAATCTCATAGGTTACGAAAGAGACGTGTTGTTAAGAGAGAGATAAAAAGCCGATGCCATCCCTCTGTTGAATGAGTTGAGCTGACCGAGAACTTCTTCAAATAGTGGGTTACAGCTAGAAAAGGTGCTCAATTTCGCAACAGATAAGAGAGTATGGCTTCTCATTATCGGGAAAGGAGTTACGAACGGCTAACATTGAACCCGGTGCGAAGGAGAGAAGCGACGTCATCGCACTGTTTCTTTCACGTGAAATTTTTTCTCTGACTGGCATATTGCACTATTCGGAACGTGCCTCCTTCTCGAGCAAAAGCAGTCACGTATCTTTTACGTATTTGTTTAAAACTAACGTAGCACGCCCGGCAGTTTTTTGGTGACAAAGAGCGTGTGTTTTTCCAGCTTGACAAAGCAGTATGATTAGCATAGTAATTAGCACATAGTTTTAGATGTGAAGCAGCTTTTTCTCGGAACTGTGTCTGTCCCTCGGTGACCATCCGTTCCACCGCATCGCATGCGCCAACTTTCTCCCTTCTCCTCGCATGAGTGCGAGAAGGTAGGAGGAGTTGGGGTGGAAGAAGTGGCAGGGCGCTGCCTCCGCTTCGTCTACAGTGTACTAGAATAGCTACAGTGTACGCTACGAATAGCTACGAAGCTACAGTGTACTAGAATTCTAGTACACTGTAGCTTCGTCTTTCCTTTCCCGTTTATCTCTCCGTCGCAGTTGTGCGCTCGTATGTAATGCTGCGAGCGCTCACTCTGTTGCACTCTCCGAGCAGCGCCAAATGTTCACCTTGCGGCACACACGGTAATTAATACACGCAAACTGGAGGGGGGAGTAACATAAGCGGTACACAAGATATACACAACTCCGCACACAAGGCAAACATACACGGAAACATACAAATGGAAACAAAAAAGGGAAACATAAGGGAACAACAGCGATCCTTCACATTCTTACAAGGTTCCTTTTAGTAGGAGATGGTGCTTACCAGAGGTAATCTTAGCAAGCCAAATAAATTATTTATGTGAAAAAAGCACACTCTGAAGAGCGTATAAGGTGCTGTTGACCTATTCGAGACTCTTGACGAGCCTAGCCATCATAAGAGTTTTTATCGAAAGGATCAATTATGACTATCCTCACGTTTCTTGACGCTAAATGACTAAAAGTGTCCGTGTTTCGGCCATTAGTGTCTCGTCTTTCATTTTACTGGCACCTTTAATTTTATTGCCACGTGTTGAAGTGGTAGTTGCATTATATTCTTTCTTTTGCGATTAGAGAAATAAAAAAAGCCCAGTGAATTGAAAGAATTGTACCATTTTACTGTAAAAAAATCTATAGGAAGTGAGCGAAAAAAAAGCTTTTCGTAATTATGACGCTTTTTTGTTCTTTTCTTTCGGTCGTGAAAGGGTTACAAAAAAATGATTACGTGGACTCCTTAACTCCACATTTTTGTGTTTTTGTCAGCTATATTGATGAATGCATACCACCCCCTTTTGGTCTCGCATTCATACAACTGTTTCTCTGCGTCTGAAATGTCAACTTGGCGAAGTTGCTTCTGTATAGTGTAGCCCCATATGGATAGCGTGTACTTTTGATAGAGTGTAGAAACTATATGTGCCATACAGTGACATAGTAGGAGGAGGGAGGGCATTGCGATGAACTTACTCTCCCCTTATAGGGAACACTGCGCATGTCTAAGAACGCATTGTACGCTCCGTAACAGAATCGCACGTGCAAAGTCCCCAACCCTGTGGAAGTAGAGAACTGTATACACTTGCGTGTCACGCTTTCTTCACGAGAGATAGAGAGAGCAAACGCCACATTAATGTCATCAGACTTGAGGAGGTAGGGTATAAGCTAGTGCGAACCTGGTGACCACCTCTTTTGCCCTCTGTATGGCCTCGAGCTGGACAGCCAGGCTGGCGGGTGGCAAAACTGCGTCCCACCTCCCTGGAGAATGCTCAGAAACATATGATGGATATTTAGCCAAAGGAACTTGTTCATGTAGCAAGAATATACATCTAGTGGGCATATGCGCTTGTAAGTGCGCACTCACGTCTGCGTATTCGTATGCAGAAGAAGCAGGTCTCCATGTACCTGGCTGCTGGATTGCTGGCAGCCGCTGCCGTCGTTGGAGCAGGAGCCGCCGCTCTTTTGCCGGAGACTCGAGGTATCGAACTTCCGGACACATTCGGCGAAGCCGAAGATGTCGCCAGACAGCGCGTAAAGTAAGAAAATGACAGCTTGCACCACTTTCACGCAGTATGGATGGATGGATGAATGGATGACTGAAAAACTTTGTTGGAGTCCCGATGGATTCCACATCCGTTTTATAGGGGTATACGATCGCGGACTGCTCCCCGTAGTACAGGGAAGCCTAGCCTCACCACCGCATCGTGGGCCTTCTGGACAGCTTTAAGTTTTTGTATGAGGACCAGATTCATGAGCTTTAAATCAAAGGCACTTTCGGAAAATTCTTAATATTTTTCTTGTAAACAGGAGTGGGACATCTCCAGATCATGTGGTTAAAATCACTGTAATTGTGGCAGCCCGGATAAAGTCCTGAAATGTCGGAGTAATGGCTGGAGGTTACGAAGTTAGGGTACCTTCCCTTCTGAAGCATGGGAATAGATCGCCTGTTGCCTAGAGAACTTTTCATGTATGGGATTAGAATAAGCACCGGAGCGGCAGTTCTTTCATGTTTTGCTTGCAATTTTCTTCAATATATTTTTAAAATTTTGTGAGTGCCCGTGATTACGTTGTTTGTGGAGTACAGAAATGCTCGTTGTAAAGGAGTGTGGAAGTGCTTCCATACAACGAGGTTTCGGGGGTCCAGTAGAAAACTAAATATCTCTAAAAAATGTTACTGATGTTAGTTGGCATTTCTTCTTGGTTACCCGGTGGTGGCGCACAGCAAAATCATGAGCCAAGAGCCAGGTACTTAAAGAGACGTGGTCCAGCACGTGCTCGGCATCCTGGAACGCCAGCGGCTGAAAGCGGCACCCCCATGGGTTTGACGCAAGTAGGTTGCTGCTCCGGGACGTCCAAGCACGCTATAGTCTTCCTTTATTTGCCCTACCTCTTCCCCCTTTATGCCGTTTCTTTTCAGTCAAGTTTGTCTAAGTCCTAGAGTATTGCTCTTGCGTCAATTTGTACAAAACAGAAACATTGAAGCTGAACGATTAAAACATGTTACTATTTAAAACCCCCAAGAAAAATACTATTGTGAACTTTAAAAGCCAGTTCTTCATTGACAGCAACGAGAAAATCTTAACCAAGGATCGATTCGACGCAGGGCGAGGGCTCTTATTGACGCAAACGCTTACTGTGTGTAGTGTGTAAGCAACGACCTTCTCTCGCTTTGAAGAAAAAATGTTTGACATGATAGATGGCTTTGGAAGTTTGGGAAGGGCGTTTTAGGTAACATAATGTCAAGTGAAATCGGCAAGGTTTAGCTAGTGCGAGAGTTCTTTAACGTGACTAACACGACTGAAATACCGGAAACACAATGCAGTGCAATACGTGATGGTACGAAGTTTCTCCGTTTTAACAACACTCTCGCGTCAAAGGGGTAAATAGCCAAATGCTTGGGAATTTATAAGCTGTCCCGCATGCCTTCAAAAAATGTTTACCTTTTCCGTGCAGCGCAGGCGAGTCGGAACTGGCGACGAAGAGAAATTCAGAGGACACGGATGATGTCGACCGCCACCGGACTTAGCCTTGCAAGATATAGCCGCCCGGGCACATCTGCGACCACCTTGAAAAAATGGCAGCATATACACGGAGTGAATGATGGACAGTGGGGCGAAGCGTCCATTCGTTCTTACTTCCATCCATCCATGCGTCCGTCTGTGTGACCGTCCATACGTCCATCCGCCCGTCTGTGCGTGCATCTGTTCGTGCGTCCGCACGTCCATCTGTGCGTCCGTCCCTGCATTCGTCCATGCATCCGCCCCTGCGTCCATCCATGCGTCCATTCGTCCATGCAGCCATCCGTGCGTCCGTCCATACATCTGTCTGTGTGTCCGTTCGTCCATCTATTCAACACTCCAAGTACCACCATCTCGCATCTTTTCATCATATATTCCCTATATAGAAGCACCGCCATCCAGCGGACATTCCAAAGACTAAACGAGAGGAGCCAAACGCACACTTTCTTACGGCTTGCGCTTCGTGTCTACTCCCCACCTTTAACCACCTCAAGTTCATAGTATACACTAGTTCACTGTATTCATGGCACTGCGGCCCAACGCTCGCTAAACCTATCTAAAACCAAGAAGGTTACGCCCAGCGAGTATAGCGTAGCGACCCTTTCTTGTCAGATAGTGTTCAATGTACATCCCAATGGCAGCTAATAGAGAATGAGAGACAGGAGAATTCGGCTCTCAGTTAACGCGCACGCTGCGAATTTTTTATTGTTCAACAACGCAGAAGAGAAATCTCTCACCGGCACCACCTTGCAGGTCAAAACGTAAGACTGGTTACACACTACGATTACGACTACTACGAGGGACGAACGAGTGCCGCTTTAACCTTTTACTTGCCAATGTTCCAAAATTGGAACATACGAAGCCTAATTTTTTATTTCCTCTCCAATATATCGCATATTAATATTTTATGTTCACGCATACTCATTGATGCTTGTGAAAAACATAGCAGTTTTAATTTCTATTATGAACCTACGGAGAATCATTAGATAAATATTTAAAAACAGGCATATTTTGCGCTCCTTGACCAGCAGATGTTTGTTGCATTATTCCGCTGGAAAAAGTAATGTTGCAGTGAGCAAAGCAGAACTAAAATATCGGCAAATAGTTCGGGATTACGCGGCAATACAATGAAAAATATAACAAAGACAATCTAGTTTTCAGCTTGAGAGTTTTGTGCGGAAGTTCCTTTTTTGGAACATTGGCGTTTCACAGTGTCAAACGCAGCGTAGACGCGCGCGAGCATTTCGCCTCGTTCTTTTTCTTTTTCTGCCTTGTCGATGGCGCCCGCTGGGCGGCGCTTGGCAGAAACTTGAACATAAGCTTTCCTGGGCATCATTTTGAGTTTGCCAGACACGTGGAAAGAGCAGCATTGAACTACAGTGCCTAGCTACATCAATCCCTGTGAATGTAGGTAGAAAACTACCTTGCGGCTGGTTTTCTTTTTGTAGTGCTGTGCTTTACACCGCAATAACTTTCGTTGTAGGTCATGGCACAACGCTTCCTCACTTTGGAGGCAGCAATTGACCTTTTGTTCAGCCTTCCCGATGACGAACGCGAAGGTGCGTCTGTATGCCAATTGCCGCCTGTTGAAGATGGCAATATTACTGACGAGGAGCACGTGAACGAAAACGACTTTTCTGAAGTTGTTCCCGATGGTGTTTCCAGGCACGTTGAAGTTATGCAATGCAGCGATGAAGACGTTGATTCGTCTTCTGCATGTTCGAGTCCTGAGCCACGACGAAAGAAACCAGCGGGGCGGCAATTCACTGCTGGAAAAGGACGCAAAGCTTCAACGAACGCTCGGAAAACAAATACTTCAAAGCGCTCCCATACACCAGTATGGGGTGAACATGCCACGTTTGGCAAAACACTTCCCAGCGAGAGTCCTCTATTGTTGCTAGAGGCATTTCCTGATCTTGCAAACATGAGCCCATTTATGCCAAATTTATTTCTCCAGAGTACCTTGGTTCACTGGCTGAACGAACTGCAAGATACGCACTCCAAAAGGAGGAGGCGGTGGACGTCACAGGAGCGGACATAGGTCAGTTTTTCGGCCTCTTACTTTTCTGCGGGTACCACTCCGTTTCGCCTGAGGACTCGTATTGGAGCACTGCAGAAGATCTTTGTGTGCCTATAGTCGCGACAGTGATGGCCCGCAATAGGTTCCGGCAGCTGAAAAGGTTCTTTCATGTTGTTGACAATACTCAGTTGAAAGCAGGCGACAAAATGGGCAAACTTCAGCTGTTTTACGACGAAATCTCCAAATGTTTCCGCCAGTTTGGAGTGTTCAATGAAAGCCTCAGCATCGACGAGTCAATGGTGCCCTATTATGGCCACCACTCGTGCAAAATGTTCATTCGCGGTAAACCAATTCGATTTGGGTACAAAATATGGATGATGTGCTCTTCGAATGGGTACTCATATGCGATGTAAATATATTGTGGGAGGAACGAGAAGGACGACAAGACACCTCTCAGGATCAGGGCTGTTAGCAATATGGTATCGGTCCTGGAAGTGCCTGAACATCGCGAAGTCTACTTTGACAACTTCTTCACTTCGCATGGCCTCTTGACGAAACTGGCTGACCAGGGGATTCGAGCTACAGGGACTGTGCGAGATACAAGAACCTTTCATACTACTGGCTGTAGCACAGCCAGTAGTATGAAAGAAGAAATTTTCATAAAGTGTTGTTATAAATATCTATACTTTTCAGAGACATCGTATGACGCTAAATATTATTCTTCCGTTATCCTGAATAAGGAAACCCGACTGAAAAGTCAATAAAAGTTGTTCCAGAGAAAATGATTGTTTTGCATATGGGAAATGCCAATGTTCCAAAAATGGAACATGCGAAAAAAAATGCTTAGTCATTGGGAATGTGGCTGTATTTTTGATCATAGTTAATTTAGAAGGCCAATGCAAATTATCAACATAAATTTCAGTTTTTTTCCTATTGCTTCATAGTGCGGCATTTAAAAGGTTAAGAGTTTGCCACCTTTCGAAAACTCAGTGAAGGTTGATGAACAAGACGACGCCCACAATGTGGCAGAACTGCGTGCACTCAAGCTGGCACGCGTCCTCTGATCCAACGTGCAAGACGCCGCGCCATGCCTCCCATCTTACAGTATAACCTCCTGGTCACTTTGCCTATCATTATATATCGTCATGCGAATGACTATTAATACCAATGAATCATCAAACCAATGAACCTCGGTAACGTCAATGACATATCCTAGGTTCTCGGCCCATAAAGACTCCAGGAAAGTCGAGACGCCCACACCCTATTTTTGAAGATCGAACCAAGTTCATCTTAGCATTCGCTCTGTTGCCCACAACGCAGGCTCCAAACAACTAGAGTTTCACCGGCTCTATGAAAGTGCCCTGCTGGGAAGCAGTCTTCTATCCTCACGGCCCGTCTACAGCACTGTTGAACATCCCCTCCTAAGTCGACTCTGCTGAAAAAGCAGGTCCAGGTACGGCCAAAGGAGCTCTTCAAGCCCATCACCGTGGTCTCGGTGCGCCCGAAGGGAGCAGGAGAATGGGCGAACACCGCCCCCCCCCCCCTCTTAAAGTATCTAGAAGGGGGGAAAAGTCTGCCCCATAGAATAATGGGCAGGTTTGGTACCTGCCCACGGCAAGTCATCTCTTCGTTCGCTTTTGTTTCTTCACATTTGCATTAAAATTACTTGTCACGAGCACCCCTATTCTTTACTTGGCATCATTGTTAGATATAATTGATGTCTGTTTTCAGTAACCTCTAGAACAGTAACTAGAAGACATGTGACCCTGTGGTCGTTATGGGTTATTACTTATGCCCCAGAAGATAATCTCGGTGCTTTTCTACAGATTCCCGCGGTCGCCACCTAATCCCGAAGATAACTCCGCGAGTTGCACTTGGGCTTTGTGTCACAACGAAACAAATATCAAGAACAAAAGACGACGGAGAAGAGGCGATACGTTTTGGTCGATATAAAAACGTGACGGAAGCGTCATTTCATTTGTGTTTCAAAGTGCTAATGCAATATTCTTTATCCATTTGGGGAAAAGATTGTTAATGCTAGCAACCAAGGTTTAGCTAAGTCAACATTAATGAATATCTCACATAGGCATTTCGAAGTAAATATGCTTTTGAAATTCGCAAAAAAAAAAGAAGAGTGCCAACCGGAGCTCTTCATATTAAGTGGACTTTGGCGTGCCTGTCACGCAGGCAAGCGTTGGGTGGAAATTGACGGCTCTGAAATTCGTTTCTTCACAACAGTGCTTTCGCGAATACATCAGAGACTAAACTCAATGTCATGTTGCTTTTTAGATCATGCTCACTCTCTTAACACGAAGCAATGAGCCTGCTCAGAGAAGTCATTGTTCCCTAACTCAAAGGACGAATTGCAATTCATGATTACTGTATTAGATAAGGACAGCTGAAACTTGGGTCTTAAAGTTAATCTGCAAAAAACCGAAGTATTGTACAACAACCTCGCAACAGAACATCGCCTCGAATGAGGTAGCAATGCACTTGAAGTTGTAAAAGAGTACGTCTACTTCGGACTGGTAGTAACCGCGGAGCCGAACCACGAGACTGCAGTCTTTATAACAATAAGAAGGGGGGGGGGTGCACGTTCGGCTAGCATTCTGAAATCATGAATGATAGATTGCAGCTATTTTATATTTTACAAGAGGAAGGCATAAAACACCTGGATCTTACCGGTACTTACCTACGGAGCAGAAACCTCGACGATTCATCATCATCATCATCAGCCTGACTACGTCCACTGCAGGACAAAGGCCTCTCCCATGTTCCGCCAGTTAACCCGGTCCTGTGCTTGCTGCTGCCAATTTATACCCGCAAACTTCTTAATCTCATCTGCCCACCTAACCTTCTGTCTCCCCCTAACCCGCTTGCCTTCTCTGAGAATCCAGTTAGTTACCCTTAATGACAAGCGGTTATCCTGTCTACGCGCTACATGCCCGGCCCATGTTCATTTCCTCTTCTTGGTTTCAACTATGATATTCTTAACACCCGTTTGTTCCCTAATCCACTGTGCTCTTTTCTTGTCTCTTAAGGTTACACCTACCA